AATCCACTATTGAAACAATCCACCAAACAATCTGTAATGCAGCCAAAGCAAAAGACTGTATAGCTGAAATATTAGAAGAATGGAAAAAATTCCTGTACTCAACTTGGAAGGCCAGGAATGAAATATTCCTAAGGTGGAAGGAGGAATATGGAATCTCAAGAAAAAAAGAAAAACATCACAAATATGAAAAAATATCTTCAAATTCAGACAGATGGATAAATGAACAAGCCATCAAAGATAGCTATATAGACCTGATTAATCAATATATAAAACAATTTATTCTTGAAAACACTAATATTATGTCTATTTTTTCTTTTGAACCTAGTATTAGCTTTGCCTTGGCAAGTTAGTCCTTCCTTAGTTTGGAGTGGCAACAAGCCGTCTGATGGATTCTTTAGAGCATCTAACTAGTTCTAAGAAGTTTAATAGCATATATAATATTCTTTGTAATCCCTATAATGTACAGTTGCATATTATTTTATCAAGCTAATAAACAAGGCTGAGCCAGCTTAAAAAAAAAAAAAAAAAATTGTTTCAACATATTTGAAGCCTTCAGTAGTATTTTTTTAAGATGATCAAAACATTTCTTATAAACTATAGATCCAGTTTTTTTTAATTTATTGATAATATAATAAATAATGGACTTTTGGAGATTTGTTCTATGTTGAATTTTGGTGACATCTTTAATACTGTTTTTCCACAAATGTTGTATAGAAATGGTTTGCACAAATTGATTGATAATATTTATATTATTTATTATAAAAATTTTTTTCAATAGATAGAATGGACTATTAATATAAGGCAAATAATAGGTGAAATAATAAAGTTGTAATATATTTAATTTGAAACTATTCAGATTTAAATTAGATAAGTTGTGTAATTTTTAATTTTATTGGTAATTGTCCAAAGACTTTCTTAATACACTATAAATTGATATGGTTATTAAAAATTGTTTTTTTGGATTTTTTCAAATAATAAATTGATATGATATTAAAATTTGTATTTTCTAAAAAAAAAGGAAGTTTAATAGATTTATAAAAAAAATAAATAACCTTAAATTTTATAAAAGAAAATTAATAATAAGCTTAAATATTTTTTTATTAATTTTTGATTTAGAAATAAAAATATATATTTAATAATTATTTAAATTAAAAGTTTAATTTTTTGCTTTTTTAAGAACAATAAAAATTGTTTATTACTAAAATTAAAACTAAAGTTTTTTAATTCTGATCTACTAATAAATTAACAATTAATAATAAAATATCAAATTTATATTTTATAAAAACTGAACTATGTATTGTTTTAATATTATTGATGATTTTGAGTAGATTTTATTGTATTGTAAAAATCAAGAAAAAATAATTTTCCAATATAAGAATTATTTGAAAAGTATTTATATAATTATTATAATTAATTTTCAGATAATTGCAAAGCAGTATTGTATATAATAGATAATAAAATTTTTTTGGATAAAAAATAAGAATTAATAATAGAAAATAAGAATTATAAAAATTTAATAAAAAAGAATGATTTTTTTTAAGATTTAAAGAAGACATAATTAAGAAATTTCAAAATTTGAAAATTAAATATAATTTAATTTATATAATTATTTCAATAATTAATAATTAGATTTTAATAAATTATTTTTATATGTAACCTATGATATAAGCTTTAAACAAAAGTTTTTTTATTAAATTTGATTATATATTGATAGAGATATAAGTATTTTAATTTTTTTAAAAAAATTAAACAAATGAAAAAATCAAATTCTAAAAATCAAGTTTAATTTATTTATATTATTTTCTTGTTAATTAGTAATCATATTTAAACATATTTTTTTTTTATATAATAATTTATGACATGAGCTTTACATAAATATTTTTTGATTAAATATGATTATATATTGATAAATAAATAAATATTTTAATTTTTTTTAAAAAAATTAAATTCACAAAAATAGTCAAATTCTAAAAATGAAATCTAATTTATTTATATTATTTTTTTATTATCTAATAAATAGATTTAAATTATCTTTTTTTAAAATAATAGCTTAATGATATACTGTAAGTTTTAAAATAAATATTTTTATTTTAAATATAATCTTATAGTAACAGAGATATATTGTAAATATTTTAATTTTTTTTTAAAAAAATTAAACATAAAAATAATCAAATTCTAAAAATAGAATCTAACTTATTTATACAATTTTTTTATTATCTAGTGATCAAATTTAAACAATCTTTTTTTTAAATGATAGCTTTAAAAAAGGTTACCAGAAATTTTTTAAATATTTTTGTTATCTTCAAAATAACTACTCATATAAATATTTATATCTTAAAATATATTTAAATCTATAGATTTATAGTATGGTGACAATACTTTTAAATCATAATTTACAAGGTTTAAAGTTAAAACTTAATAGATAAAAATTTAAGATATTGTGAAATATAAGTATTAATTGTCATATTTAAAGATGGGTTTCCAAAGAAAGAGGCAGGGACAAAAGTCAAATATTTGAAAAAATCTAAAAATTTCCGTCAGTACGCATCCTGTAATATACTAAATTAGGAAATGGATTTTATTATTACTTCACGTGATCCAACTCAACATATACTGAAATATTCTCCGTTGCAAACTTACTATTTTGGCTTTAAATTCGTTACCTATGGTAAAGCGCATTACCGAGAGAGTTCAGGGAGATACGTAATGTTCGCGTTTTAAACCTTGCATTTGTTTAAATAGAGCGTTAATTATACAATTCACCGAGAGCAAACAAACGGTAGGTTTTCTTTTTTTTTTTTCTTGTTCACGAGCGGTCGTCATTTATTCCTTATAATCTTGGCTGAAATTTTAGCACATTCAAGCGGGATATGGTCGGTTCGTTGGTCCCCGATTGGAAATGTTATAGCCACTGGCTCTCTGGATAAAACCATAAAAGTTTGGTTTGTTGAATTCTTTCTTGAATTGATCATCTCGCATTTTTGAGAAGGCATGTGAATAATTTTCATAACAGGGATCCCGAAACCGGGGACTACTATCGAACCCTTCAGGGGCACAACTTGGCAATTATATCGTTGGACATTGAAGCTAGCGGACAAGGTGGTGGATATTCCAATAAAGATCGAATTTTTTCATGATTTATACCAACAATCGCAATTTATTTTTGCAGTTCTTGTGTCGATATCCCTGGATAATACGATCAAAAAATGGGACGTGAGTAATGGAGATTTAATCGAAACCACATCAGTCAAACCTGGTAAATTGTAATATGAGAGTAAACCTTTTTCCATCGAATTATAAGATGTCCTCATATTATTATCTAGGTGAGGCTTGGAGTGTTCATTTCTCGCCGGATGGCCAACGCTTTGCTGTCAGCACTCACCAAGGAATGATAAAACTTTATGACACCGGTATATATGGTTCGAATACAGCCGAACAAGCTACATACACGTCCGAAGGAAAGTTTGGACTATGCGTTAGATTTGTATCCTACCCTAACCTTTGTGACATCATGCGGCGAAACATTAGTTCGAATTAAAACGGCTCGTTCCATACATACACACATACATACAACACACACACATATTTTTCAAAAAAAAAAAAAAAAAAAAAAAAAAAAACTTTAATTCCTTAACGCAGAATATTGTCTATTGCCCACGAAAGAGTCCCGACGGAAAATATCTAGCTCTCGGTACCGAAAATGGACGCATTTATTTATTTGATGTGGAGACCACGAGAAATATACATAAATACACAGGTTTTTATCTTTTCTTTCGATCTTCTTTAATTTAATCATATTTACACCGTTTTTGTTATTGAAATAGGGCATACAGATTGTTCTATAAGAACACTTGATTTTACACCCAACTCATCTTTATTGCTATCGGGATCCGATGATGAGACGATAAACATATATGATGTGTAATTATGTTCATCAGATCTTCTTTGTAACTAGGTGTATTAGAAATGTGAGAAAAGGTTCTAAGCAAAAATTTGTAATACGTTGTTTCTATAGACGTCATTCCAACCATATGGCTAAATTTACGGGACATGATGGATATGTCTTGAGCGTAGCCGCCGGTGATAATACGCATTTTGTTAGCGGGTAAGTGAAACAAGGAAACAACCCAATTGTTAATATTAATTTACGTTATATTATCTCATAATTAGGTCTACGGATGGAAAAGTAAAATTGTGGGATATAGGGTCCAGACAATGTTTATCCACTGTTGGTGAGCACAAAGATCAGGTACGAGGTTTTTTTTTTTTGGAGAACGTGGTTTGAGGATATACTTTTTTGAACTTACTTCTAATCCCGTCCGATGAAAAGGTTTGCGCGATTTCTTGGAATCCTGATGGGAACAAGTTTTTATCGGTTTCAGATGACAAGACATTGAGATGGTATACCGCAGTTTCTTAATTCGACTGAAATTGAATTTCAAATTTAGCATTAAACCAGATCATGTAAAATTACCTGATGATTGATTTCTTAAGAAATTAGCGTAATTTGATATTAAATGAAATATTTAGTCGTAGAATGCTTATTATGTTTACCGCGCTAAAAATGTATATAAATTCTTCCTGTTTGAGGATAAGCTCAGATTTCGTATGTTTCACGATTTACGTGTTTGCCAATCATTCTCGTGCGATCTACATGGTTTATTATAATAAGTTGATTCGAAAAGTTTTTTCCTGATTCTTGATGGCGTCGAAAGCTTTACTCTTATTAATATTGGCGATACTTCTCCTCATTATAAATTCAGGTCAACTATCGGCGCAGGAAACTGATGAAGTATATAAACCACCTTGACCGTTCATTTTTCTTTTTTTTTAATTTATTTTCAAGCATTCAATAACATGATCTTTGGAATTTCTAGTCTGAAGACCATAAGTACACCGTTTACCATAAGCTCTTTAACCAACCCACGTATTCCAAACGTGGCGTTCTGGTTCTGACGCCAACTCGAAAGGTCGCAAAGTATATAAGTTCTATCGACACAATACCTATTCAAGATTTCACAGGTGGAACGTCTTCGGATTCTCTCTACTTGATAAAAATAGTCAACGAACAGAATCCAACGAAAGTCTTGAAATCCTTTACCAAGATGGTAGGTTGTAATTACATAATTTCAATCCCGAAGTTATTTTATATTTGCTCGATCAATCAAAACGATGCTTTATTTATCTGCAGTGCCTACTAGAAGCGTCTAATTTTGAAGATGAAATAGTAGTTCATTTGGACAAGTATAACAACGTATTTCATTTTGATTATTACACGTCGATCGGCCAATGTAATTCCACTTCGGTCCCGGTAATTTCAGTCGCCTAGTGCATTTTAAAATCAATCCTCACTCGACCTAATTGTTCTTCGGCTTTCGCCATAACAGCAGTCGGCGAAGTTCAAGACCACTACACATACAATCAAAGCAATTAACGGTGTTAGGTATGTAGGCCTCCAGGTGATGCTCGGTAGAACTCGAATTTCTCATCGATAAATCGATCGGTGTTAAAAAAAAATATTTTCACTCTACCGAGATCATTGCGGTATTTGTCTTTATGGTGAATTTGGCTCTGATCGTAATTCTTTATCTTCGTTGTGTGACGTGAAGCCCAAAATTAACGAGAGCGTTACCCTTGAAAGAGGATGGGACGGTGGAAAAACCACCCGAAGAAAAAAGCTTCTTGCAAAAGTATTGGCAAGTACAATTTTTTTTTTTTTTTTTTTTTTTAGCGGTGTCATGTTTGCAATACAAAGTTCAATGCTAAATTGTATCATTATGTCAATCGATAGGTGGTATCTAATTCCTCTTGTAATATTACTAACAACAAGTGGTTCAGCTGAGGAAGGTCAACAACAACGAGGTCGTGGTGGTCAAGGACAACAACAGCAAGCAGCTCCCCGTAACACACGATGATTTCGTTCAGTTTTAAAAATAATAAAATTTGATTTTCATTGATTACATGTTATTTAATTTGAGTTGAGTTGATGACTTTTTTTTTCTGACGAGTATATTTTTAAAATGGATCGACGACGCGGGTCTATATCGGCAATTTTATTGAAATTTATTCATTTTCTTATATATTATTGCTTGTGAAGGTAAGACATTATGATATGGGGGTCTAGCTCATATGGTAGAGCGATCGCTTCGCATGCGATAGGTACTGGGATCGATACCCAGGTCCTCCATAAAATTTTTTTTTTTTTTTTTTATTTACTTTTTATACTGTATACATCATATACTGTATGTTCTTCCAATAGATTCAATTCAATTCATGTGACAAAATTTTTTTCTTTAAAATTCATTCGAGAGAGTGAACTTTCGCTGTAAAACAAACATGGTACACGAATCTTTAAGATTGTAGGTAAAAGTAATAGTGAAAATCGAGAAGACTTTTTTGCATCAGTCCGTCATAACGTGTATATATACATTTTTTTTTTTTTTTTTATTCTTTGCAGGTACGCTACGAGTGAAACATACACTCTTATACCATACTATCTCGACTCGACAAAACCATCTCAAACTCTAGTCATCAACAGGGGAACTGGCAGCCTCGAGCTGGACAGTATCTGTATGTACTATGCTCGATCGAGATGCATCGTTCCCTCATTGTCTAATCTCACTTTATTTGACAGCATCCGAGCCAGATTTACCGACTCTTCATGCCAAAGCGCTCACGATTTATGGTGTCCTCGGTATTGTCAGATTAGTTTCGGGTGAGCAAAAATTTGATATGATGGATGATTGGTCAATTATTACCTTCTACTAACTTATCTTGATCATTGAAAAAAAAGGTGAATATTTAATCGTGATCACCGGACGAGACCGGATCGGGAGGTTGGGCAAACATGATGTCTTTCATGCAAACCAATTTCAAATCCTTCCATTCGCTAAAAACAACTTTCGACTCTCTGAACAGCAAGCAAGTTCATTTTACGCTGACATTTTTTATTACACGACGCGATGCTTAACGTTTCAATACTAGGTGCAAGATGAACAACGCTATTTGTTACTTGTCGAAAATCTGCTCAAGTCCGGTTCTTATTATTTCTCCTATACATACGATTTGACGAACACCTTACAAAGACAATCTCGATTGAAAGATTCGACCTTTCCGCATTTATGGCAAAGGGTATATATGAATGCTTCACTCTCTATAGAAATTCACAGTTAACTAATTTTCCGAAAACAGGCAGATGATCGATTTTTCTGGAACCGCCATTTGCAATCTAAATTGATAGACTTCACCCTTAATAATCCCGAACAAGACGTAAGTAAACAAACTCTATGGTTTTGCGATATCGGAACCATAATAACTGTATTTGCATTCTGACAGTTGAGCGATTTCATTCTTCCCGTTATTTTTGGATGTACGTCACAAAAGGTTTCGTTATTTCGTGTCAATTCATTTCAATCAATTTTATTTTATTTTATTTCTTTTCTTTTTTTTTTGTCCTCACAAAACGATTGTCGTTGGACCATATTTAGTCGTTTCTATTTCGGCCACGAAAATAAATAATCGGGATGTAATGTTTTCTCTGATTTCTCGTCGGAGCAGGTACCGCGCTGGCATGTATCCATATGTTCGGGAGTTTCCTTCTTTCTTTTCAAATTGCAACATTTAACACCCTTTTCTTTTCTTTTATAGGGACGCGTTACTTTTCACGTGGAATTGACGCCGAAGGAAATGTTTCCAACTTCAACGAGACGGAACAAATAATTTTGTTAGACCCTATTAAGAACAGTCACGCTGGTATCTCATTTGAGGGTAAAATTAAGCTGTCATACGTGCAAACGCGTGGTTCTATCCCAATTCATTGGGCTCAAGTCAATGACATAAAATATACGCCAAAACTGCAGATCATGACCCTTCCCAATACGGTAATGATGATTTCTCATTCAAACTACATATTTGCGAACATCACGAACTCATTCAGATTTTTGCTCTATATGCATTAATTATAACAAGAGTGACGCCACTCGTAAGCATTTTGACGAGCAAACCAAAATTTATGGCAAACAAATCTTGGTGAATCTTGTTAATAAGAAGGGATCTGAATACCGCGTGGCTGAAGGATACGACAAAGCTGTCACACGACTAAATGATTCCAGGATATCTTATTATCACTTCGACTTTCATCACGAATGCCGCGAAATGAAATGGGACCGAATTCAAATATTGATTGATTTAATTGAAGAAGATTTAATACAACAAGGGTTCGCTCGCAATTATTCTTTCCTTTGAAGCACGGTTTGTATTCCCATGTACAAACGTATTCAATATTATTCCACTGTATTACAGATATTACTACTCAGAAGAATTAAACGGATTGAACATACTCAGACTACAGACGTCAGTGGTTCGCACCAACTGTATGGATTGCCTCGACCGCACAAATGTTGTTCAATCCACTTTGGCCAAGTGGATGCTGACGCAACAGCTGCGGGAAGTTGGCGTACTAAGTAATAAAGAGAGAATCGAAGAAATTAGTAATTTCATGCATTTGTTCAGAAACGGTAACAAAAAAAAAAAAAAAAAAATCGCATTTAGTAAGTTGTTTATTATAAAGTGGAGTTCTGATATTTTGATTACCTTGCGATCATTTAGTTTGGGCCGACAATGCTGACGCGATTAGTTTTCCATATTCTGGAACTGGTGCACAGAAAACAGACTTTACCAGGTGAGGTCTTTCTTACACGTCAACTTAATGCTTTTCTGCCTCGTCTGACTTTCAAAACTCAATTCGATATTCCACAGAACGGGTAAGAGAAGTTGGCAGGGTGCTATTTCTGACTTAAGAAACAGCGTTACACGATATTTGAAGAATAACTTTATGGATGGTGAACGGCAGGTTGGCAGATTTTTAATTTTCCACGATTGCTTTAAATACATATCTAGTTTACATCTCTTTCTCTGACTAGGATGCATACGATCTTTTGTTGGGCAATTACGAAGTTAAACCAAATATTTCGCCATTCATTGATACTCGGCCGTCTCTTATTAAACTGGTAAGGCATCAGGTCATTGAAACCTGCTATTGATATATTTTGAAATTAAAGATTATGATGACATATTTTTGCACCTGTTGTTATCTTTGTAGATCCCTCGACTATTATTTTCGTGTATAATACTCTTGATACTTCTTTTCCTGCTTCCCAAGTCAAGCGGTAAGACGTGACATCGATTAATTGTATCGCACAAATAATTTTAACTTTGTCGTATGATTAATCGCTCCCTCCTAAATAATCCTAGATTATGCATTCTTCATGGGTTTCCTCACGGTATCTTTAATTTTGACTGTTGTTATTCTTCTTCGATATATTGTCGACCATGGTGATGAGTTCGTAGATTGGCCGCGTCTCGTTCCACGAGATTACCGATTTTACCGAGAGGCTTCCACACCTTCGCAAAAGTATACGAGATCGCGACACCACAATGACTCTGAATATGGTGAAAAGATCGAGTTGCAAAAGATCGAATAGAAATTATACGCTTATTATTATTATTCATTCTATTTTTTTATAATTTCACTTGGGCATTTTCTTATATTTAATATCAGAATCAATCTTATAGATTTTTTTTTTTTTTTTAATGTGTTCAGGAGTAATGAATGCGTTAATTGGTAACAGTTATCGCAATTCTAATGGGGAACTGAAGAATGTGTGCAATCAATATTAACCATGAAATTTATTGATTTTTGAATTTTAAGTGCAGCTTCGCAAAAATATACAGTATATCCAATTTTAGTATAAACTTTATTTTGATTATACAATACATATGAATAGAATTTTGGTATTAATAGCAATAGTGATCTAAAAGCAATTATGTTAGTAGTTGAAAGGATTTTGGGTTAATTTGGAGCTTTTTTGTTGGATAGTACTTGATGTTAACAAGTTACCAAAACATTCTAAATACAGGTAACAAACTGGTCAAAACAAGTAAACAACACTTGTATCAAATAATAAACAACAATGTGAGTCCTATTTATATCAAAACAGGATTAGCAAGCTTAACAATAGTCACTAAAATAATATTAAGGACAAGAATTAATCTGCTCACATAACTATTCATAATTCAATACAACTATATAACAATAATATTATATAAACTATTATGAATAAAGCAAATACTTCAGATAATAAGTAAAAGATACGAAGATATTATGCTAGTTCAATTTGCAAAGAAGTATGATAAAACATACAAGCTATGAATTATATAACAAATTGTTCAATAAAAAGATATAACTATCCACAATAACATAATGGCAGTTGCTCCAAAAATATATATTATACTAAATAATATTATCTATTTTTGATATAAAAAAAAAGAAGGGAAATTTGTTTCAACATCTATATAGAAGATAGATACTTGAATATAATTAAAAAAAAGTCATCAAGAATGCAATTCATTTCAATAGAAATCACTATTGAACTAGAAAATGAATCAACACTAAACAATGAAATAATAATAATAGAAGGTTAAGAATAGAAGAAACTAAAAATGGAAATATTTAAAGGTAAAATTCAAGACCATAACATAAGTAAATATAGTTTCTATGTAATAAAAACATGTAAGTAATCCTATTACTAAACTTCTATCTTATAAATAAAAATGATAAATATAAAGTAGATATAATAACAACCAATATTTCAAGTAATAATAAAGAAGAGATCAAAGTATACTTGGATAGTATACTAAAACTGTTATGAAACAAGCATAACTTTTTTCAAAAAATTTTTATTAATAGAAATAAATAGTTAAGTTTTTACTTAAAGAAAGAAAAAGATTTTTTCAAATATCTAGAAAAAATAAATAAAAAGAAGAGGCTTTCAGTTTACAACAGCTTGAAAATAAGATCAATAATCAAACACAAAACATAAATATATTAGACAAGAAAATCTTTCGATTAATAAAAGAAAGAGAAAAAAGAGATATATAATATATTAATCTAATAGATACAATATACAAAACTCCTCATTACCTTATAAAAGAATATCTTAAAAGATATAGTGAAATCCAATATATATATATTTATAAGATTAAAATAAAAACAAAAGTCATGACTTATATAAAATGGTATAGTCACTGAATAATAAATCTGAAAATCATATAAATGATCCCTTTAAGAATAAAAACTATTAAGGCTATCTTTTTCAAAAAAGGACTAATAAATAGAGAAATCAATATTATTTTAATGGAAAGAAACAAAACTCTATAAAACTATTAAATATTAATAAGATCTATTCAAGTTTGATAATTAGAATACTCAATAGTATAGAAGTAAAGACATGTTATATCTCAAAAGCTTCTTTATATTAAAAAAAACAAAACTTTACAATTGTATACTTTGCAACAAAAAAAGCTTTTAACAAAGTTTATAATTAACATATTGTTTTTTATATTGTGATAAAAATAGCATCTACTACTATTGGATAGTTATTTTTAGTTATGATCTTTATTCTATTTCTATTTTTATTTATTTATTTATAATTATTTCTTTGATA